CAGGGCATTATGTACAGACAAGGATATGGAAGGATATGAGTAAAGTGGAGGTAAACCTAAGCGTTGGGTAACAATGAAAGAGATAGCATCGCTGGAGGCATCAATTGAGTCGGTCTCCGCGTGTATAGGGGGTGGGACAAAGGAGCTATCTAAGGCAGGTTTAGCTGGGCTGGGGGGTCTACAGTGAAATAGTACAATTAGAAATAACCGAAACAACAATAAGCTAACCATGTTTGGGCTGAGGCTAAACATAAACAGGATATAGTACCGTAAAAAGGAACAGTCCAGCAGACATCAGCTGTATAGCTGAGTTATCATAAGGTCCGGTGAACAGCAATAGGATAGTTCGAGTAAGAGGCCATGGCTAGCGTGTGCTAGCGGGCCGGGGCTAGCAGATGGAATCTTCGTGGTTAACGTCGTAACCACATCAGACGATTTTGTCGGCAGACCAGTCGTGTAGGATCGGCGGGGCTCCGTGTCAACACTAGGTGGTCCCGTCCGGTTGACAGAGAGGTAGATAGCCGGGAGATGGGCCAAGCTCAGGATGATTAGCCAGACCACAGCGTCCATTCCGTTGCAGCTAGCTGGTAGCGATGAATCCGGAGTTAAAGGTCCAGTGATTCAGTGATTCCGGCGGAAAAACCGATATGTTCTGGGTCGATAACGCGCTGTGCAGACTGGCCGAATATCCGGTGATTAATGTCCAGTGACCAAATCAATCCCGCAGAAAAAAAATCCAATGCTCTGAGTGAAATACCGCCAGCTGTGGCTAATAGCAAGTAGCCAGTCAGCTGGCTAGCTAGTTTCAACTGGAGACTCCAGATAAAGGTAAGTCAATAATAGAATCCGTTCCACATTGAGTGAGGCGGGTTGCAGGAAAGTATATTTTGTAGAAGGATGAAAAGTCTGATAGGGAAATATGTACGAAAAATACAAAAAAACAGGGTATTTACAGACACACGACAAAAACAGAACTGCACTACTACGCCGTTTTGGATCAATGTTACTTGGGAAATCTGTTTAACGTCTCCAGGAAAATCTGGAATGTGTTGGAGGAAAGTGTGGAGTCGGTGAGAGTCACAAGAAGTGGTCTTATTTATATTGTTTTGTGTGTCTGTGGAGCAGAAGAAGCGTGTTTTTAAGACTCAAAAAGATATCGGAGTGGAATGTTTCCGGTATTGATTTTCGTAGCAGGACGCCTATCAAGGGGGTTATTTCTGGGGTGGCGCAAGAAAGAAAGGCAGTGGATATTACTGAAGACCTCGATGGAGTGGTTGGTCCACGTGGACTGACCTGTATGGTGGATGGAGAAAATAATTTCACTTAATCCATGCTAATGTTCTTTGATGAAGAGTCTCCCTTCTCATGTAAAGTTAGGATTCATGAGATACCCTGTAAGGCCTTTTGAGCACAAGGCCCCTTCAGTGTCATACCTGTAAAAGTGTGTGCCGAGGCCCGAGGGGAAGAGTATCATCTGCCAGATGAAGTGAAATGTTGCGACTGTGGAGGTGAACATGCGCCTGAATTCCTGGAGTGTCCTGTCAGGGTGATTGAGAATGGGGCGGCAAGGGTAAGGAGTGTCTAGCACAGGGGTGTCAAACGTCCGGCCCGCGGGCCGGATCAGGCCCGCAAACGGGTTTAATCCGGCCCGCGAGATGATAAAAAAAAAAATATAATAATTTAAAAAAATGTGGTTTTGTAAAGTATAAAAATGCGCTGCAATTTTTCAATAAAATAAACTGCTGTTCCAATTGCGTCCACTGGATGGCGCAATAGCAATTGTGTTAAGCAAGCAAACTGTTTATACCGGGGCAGAGCAAGTAGGTCAAGCACGTGCAGCCAATGAGCTACTTTGTTTTGCCCGCGATATTTATTACGGCTTCTACTTTTAACATTATGTGCTTTGGCACCCTCATTGCCCCAATATGTCTCTGTCAAAAAAGAGAAAAGTGGACGCAGAGGGCAGAGTGTTCCAAGAAAAATGGTCATCCTATTTATTCACGGAATTGAATGGGAAAGCTGTATGTTTGGTGTGTTCAGAGCATGTTGCAGTGCTGAAAGAATATAACCTTCGTCGCCACTATGTGAGTCTTCATGCCGACAAATATGACAACTTTCAAGGACAGCGGAGATGAGAGAAGGTGAATGAACTGTTGGCGGGTCTGAAGAAACAGCAGTCTGTGTTTACTCACAGCCGAGACATCAGTGACGCTGCAGTGAAAGCTAGCTACCTCATTGCTAATGAAATCGCAGTGGCTTCAAAACCATTTAGTGAGGGTGAATTTGTAAAAACATGCATGATGAAGGCAGCGGAGATTGTGTGCCCTGAAAAGCGGCAGGCTTTTGCAAATATCAGCCTGACAAGAAACACAGTTGCAGACAGGATTTCCGATCTTTCAGTGGATTTGGACAGCCAGTTGAAGCAAAAAGTAAAGTCATTTATTGCGTTTTCGGTTGCAATTGATGAAAGCACGGACATTACAGATGTTGCACAACTGGCCATTTTCATCCGCGGAGTTGATGACACATTGACCGTCACCGAGGAGTTCGTGGAGTTGGTGCCGATGACAGATACAACGACAGCAGCTGATATTTTTACCGCACTCGTCGGCGCGCTGGACAGGGTCGGAGTGGACTGGTCCCGCGCTGTCAGCCTGGCTACAGATGGTGCGCCCTCAATGATCGGGAAAAAAGCAGGCGTTGTGACAAAGTTCAGAGAGAAAGTGCAATCTGCAAATGGAGGACGTGATTTTTTGACTTTTCACTGTATTTTGCACCAGGAGGCTTTGTGTTGCAAGTCATTAAAGATGGATAACGTCATGAAGGTGGTCATCCAAACTGTTAATTTCATCCGATCCAGAAGCCTGAATCACCGTCAGTTTGACAGCCTTCTCAGAGAGAAAGACCACATCTATGGCCTGCCATACCACACTGAGGTAAGATGGTTAAGCCGAGGTGCTGTGCTGAGGCGTTTCTTTGATTTATGAGAAGAAATTGAACAGTTCATGGAAGAAAAGGGCAAACCAATGTTAGAATTTCATTCCGCAGAATGGATGCAGGACCTTGCATTTATGGTGGATGTTACAGAGCACCTGAATAACTTGAACAAACAGCTGCAAGGGCGCAACAAAGTTGTCACGCAGTATTATGACAGCATACGTTCTTTCAAGTTGAAGCTGTCATTGTGGGAGATGCAACTTGCCGGTGGTGATGCAGCTCACTTCCCCTGTCTGAAAAATGTGTGCGCGACCCAACATGTGGCAGACATGAAGCGGTTCAAAGATAAAATAACGGGACTGTTACGGGAGTTTGAGCAACGCTTTCAGATTTATGTTTATATGTTTTTATGTTGATGTGCTATTGTTTTTAATTGATTTTATTGTATTTGTATATTTAACCTATTCTTGACTCTGTGGTTCTTGCACTTGTTTGGGGAACAGGATTTCATTATTTGTATCTACATTTCTGCCTGAGAAATGACACCCTGATATAGTTCTGTGATCTGTGAAACAGTTCTGTTAATCACTGAGGCATTGTGTGTTCTTTTTCTTTAGAATTTTCAAATAAACTTGACGTGTTTTATGATTAAAAGTGATGTTGTGCTTGTACTATTTTGGACACACTGTCCTCAGGCTCCAGCTTTATGTTGTATGTTGATCATATTAAAACAAAGAAAACAATCTGAAGTTGTTGTTTTTAAGTTATATATACCATGATTTTACCGGTCCGGCCCACTTGGGAAATAGATTTTCCTCCATGTGGCCCCTGAGCTAAAATGAGTTTGACACCCCTGGTCTAGACAGTACACAGCCTTGTCCTAGAGTCTAGACAGTACACAGCCTTGTCCTAGAGTCTAGACAGTACACAGCCTTGTCCTAGAGTCTAGACAGTACACAGCCTTGTCCTAGAGTCTAGACAGTACACAGAGCTGGAGTGTCCTGTCAGGGTGATTGAGAATGTGGCGGCAAGGGTAAGGAGTGTCTAGCATGTCTCCTATCTGGAGGCGGTGAGAAGAGTGGAAGGAACAATGGTAGTAGACTCACCACGACCAGTGACGGTTTCTCATCAACCAAGGGATAGTGAAATGCTACATGTTAAAAAGGTGGACTTTCTATTATTTATTGCAATGGTAATAAACTGTACAGCACAAGCGGAGAAGAAGTATTAAGAAAATTGGAATAGTTGTGAATGCAGCTGAACGTTTTTTTGGGGTCTTCGTGATTTCATAGCCGAATGTTCCGCCATCAGAGGCGCCTGTGTATGGGATGTAGTCCCGTGTAGCTCAGTTGGTAGAGCATGGCGCTTGCAACGCCAGGGTTGTGGGTTCTATTCCCACGGGGGACCAGTATGAAAAAAAATTATGCACTCACTAACTGTAAGTCGCTCCGGATAAGAGCGTCTGCTAAATGACTGAAATGTAAATGTATGTATTTTGGAGTGGACTGTGATTGAATAAGTGGGATGGGGTTTGTCAGTTGACGTGTTTAATTTTGTATGATGTCGTTTTCCCCCTTTCCAGCAATGGTTTTGTAGTTTCTTATTCAATCCAGCTGGTGGCGGTAATGCACCATTAACATTGGATGCCAACCGCCGTTAAACCCCATCGAAGAAGAAGAAAGACCGCACCTGATCCTTATTTCCCTAATGCATTTCTCCCTGCTGGAGCGGCGCCTAGTTGTGCACTACGTGTCTCATCAATATCGCTCGATTTTATACCGCTATATCTTCTAAAACTGCGCATTTTAGGATTTACTTGACTTTTCAGATATAGTTTTGGAAATGGCACATTTTTAAAGAGGGTTAATGAGAGCAGAGACGTAGTTATCTTAACTAGGTGGTTAGTTAGCTAACTAGTGGCAGCTAGCCTTACCACATGGTGTACTTGTCCAGAACTGTCATGCGACGGGGTTGTTGGGTGGATAGGTTGCGATTCTTACGGGCATGGATTACACATTTCCACCAGGTTTTTCCCGGTTTATTTAAACTCTGGGCCTCCCAGTTCACCGTTCAGACATAACGTCGCAGGCTGGGGTTCGTTTGGTCAAGTGTTGGAAGAAAACCTAGCTCTACATGAGGTGAGGTGTGACGTCGATGGCAATTACTTTTCTAGCACAGCTGGCCTCGTGTCATAGCTGGTTGGATAATGCATGGACAATCTTGATTGAAGTGTTATTTTAAACTTGTAAATTCGTTGCTATTTTACTGGAGTTGACGTTTATCATTTTAGGAAGGTGGTTGTCTACCAAAAGCAGTGGAAGTTCGAATCTCAACACATAAGTGAAGGAAGAGTCATGGGTGTCAGTGGAAGCAATAGCAATACCCCTTTGACACAAAAAATAGGTGATGTGGCCTGTCAGTGCCTTCTCTAAACCCTATTGTTTGAAAAGGTTGTTAAGGGTTGCTAGACAATGAGTACGGTTACATGCACACAATAATACTCTTTATTGTGAATAGTCAGAACAATATAATAGTTCGATTTAAATATGTAAGTTACATGCTTTGCGAGAACGATTTCCCCTAATAATCCTGTTTACATGGACACATCTGAAATCAGGCTAACTGATGGGACTTTGATACATGCAGAAAATCGCCACTCAAAAATAAACGTTATACCACAGCGACCACGTTATTTTTGTGATGCCTATTTGATTGAGTTTGTATTTCTAAGATGCATACTTTTAGTTTTTTCGAACTCACTAAATTCGCGCAGAGAAGGAAGCTGGCGCTGCCAGTGTTACTACATGCGCAGATCTAACTCTTAGTCTACATGGCCTAATAAATATTCTAAAGGAAACCAAGTGTTTTATTTGGCTTATGCTTACTTAGATTATGACCTAACCCCATTAAGATAAGCAGAGTAAGGTGTTTACATGACTAATTCCATACTCGGCCTACTGCCATAATCGGTTAAATATCGAAATGTTAGTGTGCATGTAAACGTACTCCATTATGATTTTACTCTTGTGCATGTTACTCATCATTTGAATTTCCAGATTTTGCTTTTTTTTTTTTTTTCACCCAGTAAATGGTCAACAGCTCTCTCAGATCCTTTTGGACTTTTCAGAGCATGTAAGAATTTTTACTTCCTGATTTTGAACAACACACAGGTCTTTGGCTCTCATGTCAAGTTATTTATATTTCAATTACTTGTCCTTTTTATAGATGCAGAACTTCGACCAGTATAATACAAGGATGCTTTTTGCACAACAAGTCATATCCTTGGTGAAAACATCCACCTTGAACAGGGGCCGAGTGTGTGCAAGAAATGTCCATGAACTTTGACCACATGTTATTTATGTTATTTTCAGAGACGTGAAATGAATTCCATTGACGTGGCAGATGGAGCACTTAATGGGAACACCATTAACGTGGCAGATGGAGCACTTCATGGGAACACCATTAACGTGGCAGATGGAGCACTTCATGGGAACACCATTAACGTGGCAGATGGAGCACTTCATGGGAACACCATTAACGTGGCAGATGGAGCACTTCATGGGAACACCATTAACGTGGCAGATGGAGCACTTCATGGGAACACCATTAACGTGGCAGATGGAGCACTTCATGGGAACACCATTAACGTGGCAGATGGAGCACTTCATGGGAACACCGTTAACGTGGCAGATGGAGAACTTCATGGGAACACTGAAGTACACAAAGTAGGTGAGGAACAGTAGTAGGCGATGCTTTCCACACCATCCATCCTGCATAGTTTCAGAGATATAGGCTGTGAACATCGCATTCACCCAGAAACTATACTGAACAAAAATATAAACGCAACTTGCAACAATTTCATAGATTTTACTGAGTTACAGTTTATATGAGGAAATCAGTCAATATAAATAAATTCATTAGGCCCTAATCTATGGATTTCACATGACTGGGAATACAGATGTGCATCTGTTGGTCACAGATACCTTAAAAATATATATTTTTTAAATGGGCCTCAGGATCTCGTCATGGTATCTCGATAAAATGCTATTGGGTTTGTTGTCTGTAGCTTATGCCTGCCCATAACATAACCCCACCGCCACCAGGGGGCACTGTGTTCACAATGTTGACGTCAGCAAACTGCTCACCCATTACTTTATTTAACCAGGTAAGCCAGTTGAGAACAAGTTCTCATTTCCAACTGCGACCTGGCCAAGATAAAGCAAAGCAGTGCGATAAAAACAACAACAACAACAGTTACATATGGGGTAAACAAAACGTACAGTCAATAACACAATAGAAAATCTATATACAGTGTGTGCAAATGTAGTAAGTTATGGAGGTAAGGCAATAAATAGGCCATAGTGCAAAATAATTACAATTAGTATTAACACTGGAGTGATAGATGTGCAGAAGATGATGTGCAAATAGAGATACTGGGGTGCAAATGAGCAAAATAAATAACAATATGGGGATGAGGTAGTTGGGTGGGCTAATTACAGATGGGCTGTGTACAGGTGCAGTGATCGGTAAGGTGCTCTGACAACTGATGCTTAAAGTTAGTGAGGGAGATAAGTGTCTCCAGCTTCAGAGATTTTTGCAGTTCGTTCCAGTCATTTGCAGCAGAGAACTGGAAGGAATGGCGGCCAAAGGAGGTGTTGGCTTTGGGGATGACCAGTGAGAGATACCTGCTGGAGCGCATACTACGGGTGGGTGTTGCTATGGTGACCAATGAGCTAAGATAAGGCGGGGATTTGCCTAGCAGTGATTTATAGATGACCTGGAGCCAGTGGGTTTGGCAACGAATATGTAGTGAGGGCCAGCCAACGAGAGCATACAGGTCACAGTGGTGGGTAGTATATGGGGCTTTGGTGACAAAATGATGGCACTGTGATAGACTACATCCAATTTGCTGAGTAGAGTGTTGGAAGCTATTTTGTAAATGACATCGCCAAAGTCAAGGATCGGTAGGATAGTCATTTTTACGAGGGCATGTTTAGCAGCATGAGTGAAGGCTTTGTTGCGAAATAGGAAGCCGATTCTAGATTTAACTTTGGATTGCAGATGCTTAATGTGAGTCTGAAAGGAGAGTTTACGGTCTAACCAGACACCTAGGTATTTGTAGTTGTCCACATATTCTAAGTCAGACTCGCCGAGAGTAGTGATTCTAGTCGGGTGGGCGGGTGCAAGCAGTGTTCGATTGAAGAGCATGCATTTAGTTTTACTAGCGTTTAAGAGCAGTTGGAGTGTTGTATGGCATTGAAGCTCGTTTGGAGGTTTAAGTGTCCAATGAAGGGCCAGATGTATACAAAATGGTGTCGTCTGCATAGAGGTGGATCTGAGTCACCAGCAGCAAGAGCGACATCATTGATATACACAGAGAATAGAGTCGGCCCGAGAATTGAACCCTGTGGCACCCCCATAGAGACTGCCAGAGGTGGGGGGGGGCATGGGCAAGTTGCAGAGGAGGGTGCAGAGCTGGTGGCCGGGGTAGGGGTAGCCAGGTGGAACGCATGGCCAGCCGTAGCAAAATGCTTATTGAAATTCTCGATTATCGTAGATTTATCGGTGGTGATAGTGTTTCCTAGCCTCAGTGCAGTGGGTAGCTGGGAGGAGGTGCTCTTATTCTCCATGGACTTTAGTGTCCCAAAACTTTTTAAAGTTAGTGCTACAGGATGCAAATTTCTGTTTGAAAAAGCTAGCCTTTGCTTGTGTATATTGGTTCCTGACTTCCCTGAAAAGTTGCATTTCGCGGGGGCTGTTCGATGCTAATGCAGTACGCCACAGGATGTTTTTGTGCTGGTCAAGGGCAGTCAAGTCTGGGGTAAACCAGGGGCTATATCTATTCTTAGTTCTGAATTTCTTGAATGGGGCATGTTTATTTAAGATGGAGAGGAAAGCACTTTTGAAGAACATCCAGGCATCCTCTACTGACGGAATGAGGTCAATATCCATCCAGGATACCCGGGCCAGGTCAATTAGAAAGGCCTGCTCGCTGAAGTGTTTTAGGGAGCGTTTGACAATGATGAGGGGTGGTAGTTTGACTGCGGACCCGTTACGGACGCAGGCAATGAGGCAGTGATCGCAGAGATCCTGGTTGAAGACAGCGGAGGTGTATTTAGAGGGTAAATTAGTCAGGATGATATCTATTAGGGTGGCCTTCCTAAGCCAAAATTCAGACACTGCTAGAACATCAGGGTTGGCAGAGCGAATAACTCAAACTTAGGAAGTAGACTTCTGATGTTAACATGCAAGAAACCAAGGCTTTTACAGTTACAGAAGTCAACAAATGATAGCGCCTGGGGAGTAGGAGTGATACTGGGGGCTACAGGTCTGGGTTAACCTCTACATCACCAGAGGAACAGAGGAGGACTAGAATAAGGATACGGCTAAAGGCTTTAAGAACTGGTCTTCTAGTGCGTTGGGTACAGAGAATAAAAGGGGCAGATTTCCGGGCGTTGTAGAATTGATTCAGGGCATTATGTACAGACAAGGATATGAGTACAGTGGAAGTACACCTAAGCATTGGGTAACTATGAAAGCGAGAGCATCACTGGAGGTACCGATTGAGCCAGTCTGCACTTGTATGGGGGGTGGGACAAAGGGTGGTTGAGCTGAACTTGGGGCTCTACAGTGAAATTGTATAATAAGAACTAACCCAAACAGCAAATGGCTAGGCATATTGACATGGGAGAGGGGCATAACGCAATCACAGGTGTTATTCGAGAGGGCTAAGACAACAACTGGTAATGGCGACGAAAGTTTGGGCTGAGGCTAAACAGATAAACAGGACAGGGTACCATGTAAAGGAACAGTCCAGCAGGCATCAGCTGTGTAGCTGAGTGATCATAAGGTCCAGTGGACAGCACTAAGTATGTCCGGGAGCAGATCGTAGGCTGCTACAGCACAGGCGAGCAGGAGGCACGGCTGTTGATTGCGCGTGCTAGCGGGCCGGGGCTAGCAGTTGGATCTTCGTGGTCGTCGCAACGGGAAGCCTGTTGAAACCACATCAGACGATTACGTCGGCAGACCAGTCTTGATGGATTGGTGGGGCTCCGTGTCAACACTAGGAGGTCCCGTCCGGTTGACAGAGAGGTAGATAGCCGGGAGATGGGCCTGGCACATGAAGCCATACACGTGGTCTGCGGTTGTGAGGCCGGTTGGATGTACTGCCAAATTCTCTAAAGTGATGTTGGAGGTGGCCTATGGTAAAAATGAACATTACATTATCTGGCAACCGCTCTGGTGGACATTCCTGCAGTCAGCATGCCAATTGCATGCTACCTCAACTTGAGACATCTGTGTTGTCACAAAACTGCACGTTTTAGAGTGGCTTTGTATTGTCCCCAGCACAAGGTGAACCTGTGTAATGTTCATGCTGTTTATTCAGCTTCTTGATATGCCACACCTGTCAGGTGGATGGATTATCTTGGCAAAGGAGAAATGCTCACTAACAGGGATTTGCAGCTTGCTGAGACCAACTAACTAGCGTTTAGCAGAGAGCAAGTTGCACAAACTATTAGTATAATCTAGAAAGACGTGAAGCGGTCAAAAGAGGAGAGACTGAGCAAGAACTCAAAAAAGTAAAAAAAAAACGGGTGTTTACATACGGCTAAGTGGTTTTTCACAATATCGCAGCCTCTTGCAATATGGATATTGCACATGTCAATATTGCAATATTGATTTAAAATTAGATTTAATTGTGCAGCCTTACTAGTGGGTTCTATTCCCTGGACCACGCATGTGTAAAATTGTAAGTCGCTTTGGATAAAAGTGTCTGCTAAATGCCTATTATTTATCCGGGCCCATAGGTTTGAGTTGACTCCAATGGGACATCAGCCAAGAGGTAAAAACTCCTGTTATCAGATCAATGGCTTCCCTCCAGCCCTGCTAGTTTATCTCCTCCATGAGGAGCTGACCTATCGGAGGGAGCAGGGGCATTTCTCTTACCATGCCACAGGGGGGCGCCATAGGGTACATTTTCTTTACCCTCACCAGAACCTACCTCTCAGCAAAGCTGTCTGGTGTACCCTGGGAAAGTTGGCCTAGACTACTTAGTATCCTTCAATCTAATCTATCTTGAATATCTGTCATTTTAAAGAATGGCGCTGGAATGGATAGCAGCCGTTTTACAGGCTCCTGACCAATTCTGTTATTAGGTGTTTTTTTGCACTGATCGTAATTATATATATTTTTCCCTATATAATGTTTCCGCCATCGTTTCCTATGACTGAAAATAGCTTCTGGACATCAGAACAGCGTTCACTAACCTCTATTTGGATGAAGATTTCTACTTACAATGAGTGTTTTGAGGCGAAGGATGTACTGCTTACCCCGGACCCTAATCCCAGAGACTCTTAAGCGAAAGAGAAGGCCGACGTGCGGTCACCATGACGACAATACACTGGGGAGTACATAAACTACCTCTACCCTTCATTCTATTGGCGAACGAACTGGACGAGCTCCGTCCCCTGCACATCGACTTGGTACTGGTGTCCCGTGTATATAGCCAGGTTATCATCGACTCGGTACTGGTACCCTGTGTATATAGCCAAGTTATCATAGACTCGGTACTGGTAACCCCGTGTATATAGCCAAGTTAATCATAGACTCTGTACTGGTCCCTGTGTATATAGCCAAGTTATCATAGACTCTGTACTGGGTACCCCGTGTATATTAGGCTAAGTTTATCATAGACTCTGTAACTGGTACCCTGTGTATATAGCCAAGTTATCATAACCTCTGTACTGGTACCCGTGTATATAGCCAGTTACATGACTCGTACTGGGTCCCGTGTATATAGCTAAGTTATTCATAGACTCTGTACTGGTACCCTGTTGTAATAGCCAATTTATCATAGACTGGTTACTGGTACCCTGTGTATATAGCCAAGTTATCATAGACTCGGTACTGGTACCCTGTGTATATAGCCAAGTTATCATAGACTCTGTACTGGTACCCTGTGTATATAGCCAAGTTATCATAGACTCTGTACTGGTACCCTGTGTATATAGCCAAGTTATCATAGACTCGGTACTGGTACCCTGTGTATATAGCCAAGTTATCATAGACTCGGTACTGGTACCCTGTGTATATAGCCAAGTTATCATAGACTCTGTACTGGTACCCTGTGTATATAGCCAAGTTATCATAGACTCTGTACTGGTACCCCGTGTATATAGTCAAGTTATCATAGACTCTGTACTGGTACCCCGTGTATATAGCTAAGTTATCATAGACTCTGTACTGGTACCCTGTGTATATAGCCAAGTTATCATAGACTCGGTACTGGTACCCTGTGTATATAGCCAGGTTATCATAGACTCGGTACTGGTGTCCCGTGTATATAGCCAAGTTATCATAGACTCTGTACTGGTACCCTGTGTATATAGCCAAGTTATCATAGACTCGGTACTGGTACCCTGTGTATATAGCCAAGTTATCATAGACTCAGTACTGGTACCCTGTGTATATAGCCAAGTTATCATAGACTCGGTACTGGTACCCCGTGTATATAGCCAAGTTATCATCGACTCGGTACTGGTACCCTGTGTATATAGCCAAGTTATCATAGACTCTGTACTGGTACCCCGTGTATATAGCCAAGTTATCATAGACCCGGTACTGGTACCCCGTGTATATAGCCAAGTTATCATCGACTCGGTACTGGTACCCTGTGTATATAGCCAAGTTATCATAGACTCGGTACTGGTACCCCGTGTATATAGCCAAGTTATCATAGACCCGGTACTGGTACCCCGTGTATATAGCCAAGTTATCATAGACCCGGTACTGGTACCCCGTGTATATAGCCAAGTTATCATCGACTCGGTACTGGTACCCCGTGTATATAGCCAAGTTATCATAGACTCGGTACTGGTGTCCCGTGTATATAGCCAAGTTATCATAGACTCTGTACTGGTACCCTGTGTATATAGCCAAGTTATCATAGACTCTGTACTGGTACCCCGTGTATATAGCCAAGTTATCATAGACTATGTACTGGTACCCCGTGTATATAGCCAAGTTATCATAGACTCTGTACTGGTACCCCGTGTATATAGCCAAGTTATCATAGACTCGGTACTGGTGTCCCGTGTATATAGCCAAGTTATCATAGACTCTGTACTGGTACCCTGTGTATATAGCCAAGTTATCATAGACTCGGTACTGGTACCCCGTGTATATAGCCAAGTTATCATAGACTATGTACTGGTACCCTGTGTATATAGCCAAGTTATCATAGACTCGGTACTGGTACCCCGTGTATATAGCCAAGTTATCATAGACTCTGTACTGGTACCCCGTGTATATAGCCAAGTTATCGTTTCTCATTGTGGATTTAGTATTACTTTTATTATTACGTGTTGTTACTTTTCTATTATTTCTCAATTTTCTGTGTCTTGTTGGGAAGGGCCCGTAAGTAAGCATTTCACTGTTGGTCTACACACTTTGTTTACGAAGCATGTGACAAATACAATTAGTTTTGTCTTGAAATTGACAGGTTGCCCCTTTTCCCCTACATTGAGGTCTGACGGCAGACTGCACAACCAGTTTAACAATTAAACTTGAACTGGCTTTTTTTTTGTCGATGTTGATGGCTTGTGACATTATGTTCTTAGATTATTGCTGCGTTCCATCAACTTTTATTCAGAAACTGCCATTCAATTCCATTAACTATTTTGTAGCTCCTTAATGCAGTACCTCAGACTTCCACAGGGTAGTGCTGGAGTTCCAAGAAGTGAACCCTCCATGTTTTGATGCGAGCAACAAGCCTCTTATTCCAGCTCAATGGTACAATCAGACAGATCACCATTGGCCTTCAGGAGGATGAATGTAAGCACAATAACATCATCCATGCCTGCATTGCATTTATAAAGTTGTATCCTAATTGTGACATTATGGGTTGGGATCAGTTAAAATTCCGTTTACGTCCTGGTATTAAATGTATTTGGTATTTTAGTCTACTTCCTGTATTGAACTGGTCATAATGTGTTCTGTATTAATTTCCTTTGAGTCTAAGGGTGTTTTCACATAGTCCTCTTTTTAAAGTGAACTCTGGGGCTAAAAAAAATGCTAAACTGTTCTTTGTGTTCACACTGCCCTTTGAATGAGGACTCAACTCTTTTGCCAGTTCACTTCACCTATTTTTTGGAACGAGTCCTCTTTGCCTTCACATTGCTATGTTTAGAAAGGAACCAAATATATTTTCCCAACATGCACTCTGGGGTTTTTACAAAGTGTAGGACAAGCCATTCAATCAGAATGTGTTATTGGACAGCTAGATACACCTACTTACATTTTGGAAGCTAATAGATTGCATTTAGTTAGATTATGAGACATAATAATTGTAATAAGAAGATACTATTAACGTGTACATTTAGTTTGGTAGCATAATAAATGACAATAGAATACCTGCAGAATAAATAATGCTGTAGTTGAAAATTGTCCACCCAAGGTAGGCTACTGCCCCTTTTAAGAGCTAGAAAAGATTTTGTACCCCATGTTGTGATTCTCACCAAATATGTCTTCTCAATCTATTCAAACCCCACAATCAATAAATAGCTTATGAAGCTTTCGTAGCCTATAGATCACATATTGCAAACAAATAATCGGAACTGAAAACTACACACATTGTGGAATTTCTGTGCGTCCTTGACAATCGCTAATCAATAACCAAAAACTACACACTTTTTTCCCCCCCGCAAACCTGCACATCATCATCCTCTCTTTTGTGGCACCGATGTGAGGGTTTATGGCAGTAGTCTAGTGTGAGGGGTTATGGCAGTAGTCTAGTGTGAGGGGTTATGGCAGTAGTCTAGTGGGAGGGGTTATGGCAGTTAGTCTATGTGAGGGGTTTTGGGAGTTGTCCCAGGGGGGGGGGTTTGGAAAATAGTTAGTGTGGGGGGGGGGTTTTTGGCAGGGGAAACGGGGCAGTAGTCTTTGTGAGGGGTTTGGGGAGTAGCTAGTGTGAGGGGTTATGGCAAAATAGGGGGGCTAAAATGGGGAGGGGGGTTTTTTTGGCAGTATCTATGTGGGGGTTATGGCAATAGTTCCCAGGTGTGAGGGGTTATGGGAAATTGTTTGTGGGGAGGGGTTATTGGGGAGTGTTAGTGTGAGGGGGGTTTTGGGGAGGGGAAAAAGGTGTTGCTTTGTTTGGGGTGAGGGGGTTTTGGCCCGGGGAAAAGGTGTTGCAGTAGTCCCAGTTGGGGGGTTTTGGGGTAAGTCTAGTGTGGAGGGTTATGGCAGTATTTTAGTGTTAAAGGGGGTTTTGGCCCTAGCTAGTGTGAGGGGGTTTTGGGAGATTCCCAGTGTGGGGGTTATGGCAGTAGTCTATGGAGGGGTTTTTGCAGGGGAAACGTGTTGCAGTGTCTAGTGTGGGGGGTTAAAGGCAGGTCAGTGGGGGGGTTTTGGCAGTAGTCTAGGTGAGGGTTAGGCGTTTGTCTTTGTGAGGGTTATGCGTAGTCCCAGTGTTAAGGGGGTTTTGGCATAAATCCCAGGGTGGGGGGTTTTGGAAATAGTCCCAGTGTGGGGGGGTTTTGGCCCGTTTGTTAGGGGGTGGGGGTTTTGGCAAAATAAATCTAGTGTGGGGGTTATTTGGGAGTAGTCTAAATGTTAGGGGGTTTTGGCAGTAGTCTATGGGAGGGGTTATGGCAGTAGTCTAGGTGAGGGGTTTTTTGGCAGTTTGTCTAGTTTTTGAGGGGGTTTTGGCGTATTTGTGTGAGGGGTTATGGCCGAGTCTATTTTGAGGGGGTTTTGGCAGGGGAAACAGGGGTTGGGAGTATTTTAGTGTGAGGGGTTTTTGGCAAATAGTTAAATGTGAGGGGGGTTTTTGGAAGGGGGAAAAAATGTTGAAAAGGGGTTTTTGTGGGGGTTATGGAAATAATTAGGGTGGGGGGGGATGGAAATAGGCAGGGGGAGGGGGTTTTGGGAAATAGGTTTGTGTGAGGGGTTATGGCAGGGGCCGGGGTTAAAAGGGGAAAAAGGGGAAAACCCCGGGGCCGGAGCAAAAAAGGGGGGGGGAAAAAAAAACCAAAAAAAATTTTTCAAATTGAGGGGGAGGCCCCCAAACCCCCGGTGAGGGGAAGGAGTGAAAAAAAAGTGGGGGGGGAAAAAAAACAGGAAGGGGAAAAGGGGAAGGGCAAAAGGGGGAAACGGGGGGAAAAGTCCTAGGGAAGGGGTTTTGGCAGGAAAAGGGGGGGTTTAAGGGGTTGGGCCAAAAAGGGGGAAAGGGGGTTAAAAGATAGTTCCCAGTTTTTGGGGGGGTTAAAGGCAGGGGCGGGGAGGGAAAAAAAGGGAGAAAACTAGGGGAGGGGTTTTGGCAAAAGGGGAAACGGGGTTGCAGAAAACTATGGAGGGGCCAAAAGCTAGGTGAAAGGGGTTAAAAGGCCCCGTTTGGGGGAGTGGAGGGGGATGGCAATATTCTAGGGGGTGAGGGGTTTTGGCAGGGGGAAAGGGGGTTTGGGGAAATAGTCTTTGTGGGGGGGGTTTGGCAGTAAATTAAAATGGGGGGGGGTTATGGGGCAAAAGGAAAGGGAGGGGTTAAAAAGGAAAATTTTTAAAAGTTTGCAGTTTTCCCGTGTGGGGGTTTTTGGCAGTATCCTATGTGGGGGTTATGGCAGTGTCTAGTGGAGGGGTTTGGCAGTAGTTAGTGTGGGGGTTATGGGGATTAAATCAGTGGGGGGGGTTAGGCAGTAGTTTTAGTGGGGGGGTTAAAGGCAGGGAAAGGGGGCTAGTTGGGGAGGGTTTAAAGGGAGTAGTTTATGGAGGGGTTTTGGGCAGTTGTCTAGTGTGAGGGGGGATGGGAGGGGGCCTTTGGGGTGAGGGTTTCAGGGGAAAGGGGGTTTTGGGGTAGTCCCAGTGTGGGGGGGTTTTGGCAGTAGTCTAGTGTGGGGTTTTGGCATGTCTATTTTGAGGGGTTATGGCAGGGGAAAAAAAGGGTTGGGAGTAGTTAGTTTGGGGGTTTTTTGGCGTATTAGTGTGGGGGGTTTTGGAAATAGTCTAGTGTGAGGGGTTATGGGCAGTTTTGTCTGTGTGGGGGGGGGTTTTTGGCCCGTTTAGTGGGGGGGGTTTTTTGGCGGGGGGGGGGTTGGGGAGTTCTAGTGTGAGGGGTTTTTTGGCAGTTTGTTTTAGTGTGGGGGTTATGGCAGTTGTTAGGTGGTGAGGGGTTTATGGCAGGGAAAGGTTCTATTTTGGGGGGTATGGCAGTAGTTAGGTGGGGGGTTATGGCCGTAGTTTTATGTGAGGGGTTTTGGCAGTTTGTCCCCCAGTTTTTGAGGGGTTATGGAAAGGGGGAAAAAGGGTTCAGTAGTCCCAGTGTGGGGGGATGGGGTGTCTAGGTGGGGGGTTTTTGGGGAAATAGTCTGTGTAGGGGTTTTTTATGGAAATAGTTAAATGTGAGGGGGTTTTTGGGGTAGTCCCAGTGGGGGGGGTTTTGGGGGAAACGGTTTTTTTGCCCGGGGAAGGGTTTTTAGTTGGGGAGGGGGTTTATTTTTTTTGGGTTGGGTTTCTAAAATGTTTGGGGGTTTTTTGGCAGTAGTCTAGGGGTGGGGGGTTTTTTTGGGAGTAGTCGGTTTTGGGGGTTATGGCATTTGTCTAGGTGGGGGTTTGGGAGGGGGGGAAAAAGTGTTTAGGGGGCAGTGTTGGGGGTTAATGGCAAAGGGGAAAACGGTGGGGTTTTGGGGATCCAAAATGTGGGGGGGGGGTTATGGCATTTTTAGTTTTGAGGGGTTAAAAGGCGTAGGGCTAGTGTGAAAGGGTTTTGGCAGAAATCTAGTGGGAAGGGGGTTATGGGGGAAAAAGGGGAAAAAAAGTTTTTTGCAAGTAGTCTATTTTGAGGGGTTAAAGGCCCGTATTTTAGGGTGAGGGGGTATGGCAGTGTTTGTTTTTGGGGGGGGGGGGGGGGGTGGGGGGTTATGGCCCGTAGTCTAGTGTGGGGGGGGTTATGGGGGGGAGTAAATCTAGTGTGAGGGGTTTAAACCCGTAGTCCAGGGTGAGGGGGTTTTGGCAATTTGTCTGTGGTTTAGGGTTTAGGGGGATAGTCTTTGTGTGAGGGGGGGGTTATGGCAGTAGTCTATGTGGGGGTTTTGGCCGGGGAAAAAGTGTTGCAGTAGTTTTAAATTTGAGGGGTTATGGGGGAAATATCTTGGTTTAGGGGGGTTTTGGCAGTATCTGTGTGAGGGGGTTTTGGCAAAAGGGGGAAAGGGGGTTTTGGCCCGTTTTGTCTAGTGTGGGGGGTTTTGGCATAAAATCTAAATGTGGGGTTTGGCGTTTGGCTAGTTTTGAGGGGGTTTTGGGAGTAGTTTAGTGTTTAAGGGGGTTTGGCCAGTATCCCAGTGTGAAAGGGGGTTTTGGCCCGGGGAAACAGGGGTTGAGTAGTCCAAAGGGGAGGGGTTATGGCCGTATTGTGTGAGGGGGGGTTTTTGGCAAAATAGTCTAGTGTGAGGGGTTTTAAGGCATAAATCTAGTGTGAAGGGGTTTTGGCCCGTTTTTGGGGGTTTCCTAATGTGTGAGGGGGTTTTGGCAGTAAATCTAGTGGAGGGGTTTTTGGCAGGTCTAGTGTGAGGGGTTATGGAGGGGGAAAAAGGTTTCAGTAGTTAGGTGAGGGGGTTTTGGCCAGAAATTCTAGTGTGAGGGGTTTATGGGATTGTCTGTGTGAGGGGTTATGGCAGGGGGAAAAGGGGTTTTGGGGAATTATTTTGTGTGAGGGGTTATTGGGAGTAGTCCCAGTGTGGGGGGTTTTGGCAGTAGTCTGGTGAGGGGTTTGGCAGGGGCAAAGGGGGGTTTTGGCAGTAGTTATGTGGGGGTTATGGCAGGGGAAAATTTGGGGTGCAAGGGGGGGTTATGGCCAGTAGTCTAGTGTGAGGGGTTATGGGGGGAATGGGTTTGTCTAGTGTGAGGGGTTTTGGCAGTGTCTGTGTGGGGGTTATTCAGAATCTAGTGTGGAAGGGGGTTAAAGGCAAATATCTAGTGTGAGGGGGTTTTGGGAGTAGTCCCAGTTTTGAGGGGTTATGGGGGGGGAGTAGTCTAGTGTGAAAAAGGGGTTTATGGGGAGTTTCTAGGGGGAGGGGTTTTGGCAGTAGTCTAGTTGGAGGGGGTTAGGCGGGGGAAAGGGGTTTGCAGTAGTCTAGTGTGAGGGTTATGGCAGGAGTCTGTGTGAGGGGGTTTTTGGCCCGTAATTTTTAGTGTGAGGGGTTACGGGGAAAAGGGGGGTTTTTGGGGAGTAGTCTAGTGTGGGGGTTTTTGGCAGTAGTTAGTGGGGTTTTGGGGGGGAAAAAGTCAGTATCTAGTGTGAGGGGGGTTTTGGCAGTACTGTGGGGGGGGGTTATGGCAGTAGTCTAGTGTGAGGGGTTAAAGGGGGGGAAAACCCGTTTTTTTGCAGTAGCTAGTGTGAGGGGGTTTTGGCAGTTAAAAAATTGGGGGGAGGGGTTTTTATGGCAGTAGTCTAGGGGGGAGGGGTTTTTGGCAGTAGTTTGTGGAGGGGTTTAAAAAGTTCCCCGTAGTCTAGTTTTGGGGGGGTTTTGGCAAAAGTCTATGGAGGGGTTTGGAGTAGCCCAAATGTGAGGGGGGTTATTGGGATTAGTCTATGTGGGGGGGTTTTTGGGAAATGGGTTTGTGTGAGGGGTTTTTGGCAGTGTCTATGTGAGGGGGTTTTGGCAGGGGAAAATGTTTGCAAATAGTCTAGTGGTGGGGGGGATGGCAGTCGTTTATGGGGGGGTTATGGCAGTTGTCTAGTGTGGGGGGGTTATGGAAAGGGGGGCGGGGTTGCAGTAGTCAGTTGAGGGTTTTGGGGAGTAGTCTAGTTTGGGGGGTTATGGGGCAGGGGGAGTTCAAAAATGTTGGGGGGGGGGTTTTGGCAGGGAGTTAAAATTTTTGGGGGGTTATGGCAGTAGTCTAGTGTGGGGGGGGGGGTTATTTTGGGAGTAGTCTAGGGGGGGTTAAAGGGTTTATTGGGGAGGGGGAAAAAAGTGGTTTCAGTAGTCTAGTGTGGGGGGTTATGGCGTAGTTTTAGGTGAGGGGTTTTGGAGTAGTCTAGGTGAGGGGTTTGGCAGTTTGCTGGTGGGGGTTTTTGGCAGTAGTCTAGTGTGGGGGGGTTTTTTTTGGCCCGGGGAAAAAAGTGTTGCGTAGTTAGTGTGAGGGGTTATGGAAAATAGTCTAGTGTGGGGGGTTAAAGGCAGGGTTAGTGTGAGGGGGGTTATGGCAGTTAAATTATTTTGAGGGGTTATGGCAGGGGAAAAAGTGTGCAGTAGTCTAGTGTGGGGGGTTATGGCAGTTTGTTAGTGTGGGGGGTTTTGGCAAAATAGTCTAGGGGTGAGGGGGTTTGACAGTATCTAGTGGGAGGGGTTATGGCAGTAGTCTGGGTGAGGGGTTTTTGGCAGTAGTTAGTGTGAGGGGGGTTTTGGGGTAGTCATGTGGAGGGGGGTTTTGGCAGTAAATCTAGGTTTTTTTGGTTTTTTGGCAGTAGTCTAGTGTGTGGGTTTTTTTGACAGTAGTTAGTTGGGGAGGGGGTTTTGGCAGTAGTCTAGGTGGGGGGTTATGGCAGTAGTTAGTTTTGAGGGGGGTTTGGCAAGTCTAGTGTGGGGGGGGTTTTGGCAGTATTTTAGTGTGGGGGGGTTATGGCAGGGGAAAAAGGTTTTGCAGTAGTCTAGTTGGGGGGTTTGGCAGTAGTCTAGTGTGGGGGGTTATGGGCCCTTTTTCTAGGGGGAGGGTTATGGCAGTGCTATTTTGGGGGGTTATTGGGAGTTGTCTAGTGTGAGGGGTTTTTGGCAGTAGTCTAGTGTGAGGGGGTTTTGGCAGTTTCTAGTGTGAGGGGGGATGGCAAGGGTTTTGTGTGAGGGGGTTTTGGCATTTCTGTGTGAGGGGGTATGGCAGTTGTCTAGTGTGAGGGGGTTATGGCAGTTGTCTAGTGTGTGTGTGCGGGAATAATGACAAGCGAACCTGGGGAGCTTTGTGTTCACAATGTCCTAAAGAAAGAAACCCGACCGCGGAATTCAAGCGAACCGAACTCGGACCACCTCTCGAGGTTGGTCTCCGTTCGCTTCGGGGGCTCTTTTGAGGGCGTCCGAGTTCCTTTTGGAGTGTTCACACTACACAAAAAAAGCGAACCGCACTGAGTTCACAAATATTAGCTGAAAGGGACCAAGTGTGAAAACAGCCTAAGTTTAGCCAGTTGTCTTGCCGTTTTGAATGTTTCATCCAGTGTCTTGTTATTGAATGGACTAGCAGCCTGCAGCGTAGTCTCTTACATAATGTTGCTCTGGTTTGGCTGTTTAGTTCTCTTAGCCAATGTGGGGATGTGCTCTGACCACCAGTGTGGTGTCTGGAGGGTCCGTGAGAGGACCCGTTCTCAGACTCTGGAGGTCATTCAGAACAAGCTGTCTGCTACCTGTCTCAGTGCCATGTGGGTTGGAGCACTGCTATTCCTGATACACGAGAGAGACTGATTAGTTCTATTCCTGCAACACTTGAGTGTGTTTCACTTCTATTCCTGAGGCACTTGAGTCTGTGTGTTGTCAGAAACAATAGCCCTAGTCCGGTCAGCATGTGGAAACTTGTTTGTGTCCTGTATGAACACAATCTCGGGCCAACCAAGCATTTAAACACACAACAGAGCCCTGACAGTAAGGTCACCTACTCTCTGACCTGTCATGCTGCTATAGGCCTTTAGGTCATCCTGTTAGCATCTATAGCCCTTTAGGTCATCCTGTTAGCATCTATAGGCCTTTAGGTCATTCTGTTAGCATCTATAGGCCTTTAGGTCATTCTGTTAGCATCTATAGGCCTTTAGGTCATTCTGTTAGCATCTATAGCCCTTTAGGTCATTCTGTTAGCATCTATAGCCCTTTAGGTCATTCTGTTAGCATCTATAGCCCTTTAGGTCATTCTGTTAGCATCTATAGGCCTTTAGGTCATTCTGTTAGCATCTATAGCCCTTTAGGTCATTCTGTTTGCAGCTATAGGTCATTATGTTAGCTGTCACAGTGAAAAGCTTTGCATTCTCCTATGCTGTTTAGCACTAGGCTCTGAATGTGTTGGCAATTTAAAAGTGCTCTCTGGCCCCGACAAGCAAGAGAATGAGGAGATGGATGCTCTAGAAAGCTAGTCTGTCTGTAGCTATGATTCTGTCACACATATTGTCCTAATGATGATATGTTTTCTCTGCATATGTAACTCTGATTTAGGAATAGTTTTGCAATCCCCACAAAGATTAAGTAGTGTTTCTCCTCCAAGTCAGGGTTGGGGGTCAATTCAGGAAGTACACTGAAATTCCAATCCCCAATTCTCTTCAAGGCTTTTCAATGAGGGAAAATTCAGAATTGGAATCTGAATTTCAGTGTACTTCCTGAATTGACCCCAACCCTGCTAGACTCTCTAATGTAAACCAGTGTGTAAACGGGTTTTTTTTTTTTTTAGTCCCCATGTCCAGGGAGACTTTTTGGTGGCCAGTGAGAGTGGAGCTGCCTATCTATGGGCAGTGGGGGAAAGGGTAAGGGGCTAAGATACCTGTCACTAAACGTATGGCCCTGCTCCAATTATTTACCCTTCTGTTGTCCACTACCCCTCTCCCTAAGTGTGCACTTACACTCCCCGTCATGGATTTAAAACCTTGGATTGTTGCAAACATTTAATTAACAGGAGTGCGTTCTCACCATTTTGTTAAATCCATGAAAGGGAGTGTGTAAGTCAAGGGGTCCACTTCAGGAGAATTGGGATTAAGCTCATTTTAAAGCCATGGTAGTGTTCACCCTTTGGGAGTTGGGGGTAGAGAGTTGGGACACATCTCTCAGCAAGTAGTAGGTGTTTCCCATATTCCCATCTCACACAATGTCTCTTGTCAAGTCGCTCTGGATAAGAGCGTCTGCTAAATGACGTAAATGTCATGTTTTAGTTTGCAGAAGTTCCGTCAGGAGGACAGATGGTGTGACCCCCAGGGTGATGGTGTATGCTGACCGGACAGGTGTGGCGCTCACTAATATCAGGGTAATGTAGTAAGACAGTAAAGACACTCCATTGGTACTTCTTGATTGTTGTTTTTGTAACTGTGTTGCTGCGCTGATCGACAAACTCATTACCTAACTGGGATTTCTGGGATTGATAGTGTAACGTTTTAACCTAGCCGTATCAGATCAACTCTTACGCGTTTACAATTGGAAAAACAACAACATGGCTGTTATTCAAAAATGTATATATTAGTTTTAAGAAATATGGAGTGACTATTTGTAGATGTTAACATTGTAAATGTGTAAAATCTGTTGTGCATGTTTCTGTCTTTACAGACCAAAGACTTGTAGCCACACACAGTTTCACATCGGCCAAATCTCTGACTGTTAAGAGTGGAGAGAGTCATGTGACCTGAGAGACGTCCACACCTTCCACCACACGGGTACAGTACTTTGTAATTACGTTCTAATGGGCCAATCATATGGTTCACTGCTGATTTTTGTCCTACAGGTGGTGTAGTTTGGAGATGTCCATGAACTAGGCTCCGTCCCAAACTGCACTCTATTCCCTATATAGTGCACTACTTTTGACCAGAACCTTATGGGGTCAACAGTTCAAAACACTGTCGAACTCCTCTTGATAGCGTGTCTGCCAGTTCCTTGTTAAACTCATAGTAATGGAATGTATCCGTCTGTCTTCGTGTCAAAGTGTTTTACATGGAGTAGCCAGAAAAAAATGGAAAGAGTAGCCAGCCAGGGACTTCGGGGAGGGTCTGGTGGGTGTTTTTTGCAGAACAAGCTCTGTTTGTGGCTTCTGGTACATTCTATTGCCTTGATTCCATCCAAAATACACAGATAAATGGAATACTTTAATGACTTTACCTCCCAGATTGGTAAAATGAGTTGTGGTATTGAGGAGAAATACATTACTTTACAATTAAAATTACTGAAAATGTATGAATTCAGTGATCAGGACTATTTTCTAAGTAAGAGCACCATTTTTAAAAAACATTAAACCTGTCTTCTCTTGAGATTAGTCATTTTTAAAGTTTTACTGAAAGATATGAATTGCCACAAGGATGTTTGTTCTGATTGTGTGTTATTGTCCTGCTGCTATGGACACTTAGGGGAAGGAAACAATGTCATTTTGTAATTTGGGTGAACTATCCCTTTAACATTTCACCTGTCAATCAATAATAATAATAATAAAATGCCATTTAGCAGACGCTTTTATCCAAAGCGACTTACAGTCATGCGTGCATAAAACATTTTTTGTGTGTATGGGTGGTCCCGGGGATCGAACCCACTACCTTGGCGTTACAAGCGCCGTGCTCTACCAGCTGAGCTACAGAGGACCACAATCACTGTGGGTGGGATTGTCAGGGGAGGGGCCAGAATGTTTGTCATAGAGTTGGTAGGGTTTAAGACCTGCCAATCAATCACTGTGGCAGATAAGTAATATAATCAGAAACTAAACTACTCTTTCAATTTATTGTGGCAACCTAAGAAAAAAGTTTCTGTCGAGTAAACACTGATTCCCTGTTTGAGAAATGGTATAGAATTGCAGGAAAATTGTTTTTTTTAAATGCCACCAGATTTTATATAAAGTTGGGCGCCCATGAGCACCTACAGGGAAGAATGAATTAGGTGTTAAACATGGGCTTTGCTGCACAGAAAGCAGCGGTTGATTACCCCATTGTCGACACTTTAATCAAATCAGTAGGCCTATATCAATATTGGTAATAATACCATACAAGTATAATGAAATTAGCTTTTATAACCTTCAATCTGTTTTCTTTTATAATTTTTTTTGTACCAGAATGAGGCGCTCTCCACTATTGTTTCTGCAGGGATGATTAAACATGAAGCCTGCCAGTATGCAAATTAGGGAGCAAAATAAACATCTCGCTCACCGAAGCGATTCGGTTCCGTTCGCCTAAAAGATCCGTTCAAAAAGAGCTGTTCGTTCGCGACAACCCATCACTAGCCTGATGAGTCAAAAAGAGCTGTTCGTTCGCGACAACCCATCACTAGCCTGATGAGTCAAAAAGAGCTGTTCGTTCGCGACAACCCATCACTAGCCTGATGAGTCAAAAAGAGCTGTTCGTTAGCGACAACCCATCACTAGCCTGATGAGTCGCTTTAGCGGACACTGGCAAGTCTCAACATGGGCTTCGAATCCTAGGAAAATACAAACAAGATTTGGTTTATTTGTTTTGTGATACGTGGTCATATACCTACGTTGTATGATTTTATGAATAGCAAATGGATATAGGAGTTTACTTTACTTAGTCAGTTCTAGACCTTTTATAAACTAGTCAACACTTGCTGTTCGGTCGTCAATCAAAGCACAGGAAATAGCCTCTGGGCTATAGTAGGCATATGACACAAATTATCAAAGACTCCAGTCACCCAAGTCATAGAATGTTCTCTCTGCTACCTGCACGGCAAGCGACACCGGAGCGCCAAGTCTAGGACCAAAAGGCTCCTTAACAGCTTCTACCCCCAAGCCATAAGACTGCTGAACAATTAATCAAATGGCCACCTGGACTATTTGCATTGACAACCAACCCCCCCCCCCCCCCCCCCCCCATTTGTTTTTACACTGCTGCTACTCGCTGTTTATTATCTATGCATAGTCACTTTACCCCTACCTACATGTACAAATTACCTGGACTAACCTGTACCCCCCGCACATTGACTCGGTACCGGTACTCCCTGTATATAACCTCTTTGTTATTTTTAACTTTTCGTTTATGTAGTAAATATTTTCTTAACTGCGTTGTTGGTTTTAAGGGCTTGTAAGTAAGCATTTCACGGTACGGTCTACACGGGAAAGAAAATAAATGAATGGGCCACAAAACAACAATGAAGTGGATTTTAATTCATTACCACTTACATTACATGGATGTGTAAATTCACTCACAGGAGATGATGAAGCATCATGCTCTTCCACCTCCGTGAATGTTTTTTTGTTGACTGCAGCCAACCAGAGCGCACAAAAATAACACCGATACCGAGAGGCGGGACAGACAACAGAGTGACAAATACCTAGGTGTCTGGTTAGACTGTAAACTCTGCTTCCAGACTCGCATTAAGAATCTCCAATCCAAAGTTAAATCTAGAATCGGCTTCCTATTTCGCAACAAAGCCTCCTTCACTCATGCTGCCAAACATGCCCTCGTAAAACTGACTATCCTACCGATCCTTGACTTTGGCGATGTCATTTACAAAATAGCCTCCAACACTCTACTCAGCAAATTGGATGTAGTCTATCACAGTGCCATCCGTTTTGTCACCAAAGCCCCATATACTACCCACCACTGTGACCTGTACGCTCTTGTTGGCTGGTCCTCACTACATATTCGTCGCCAAACCCACTGGCTCCAGGCCATCTATAAATCACTGCTAGGCAAATCCCCGCCTTATCTTAGCTCATTGGTCACCATAGCAACACCCACCCGTAGTATGCGCTCCAGCACTTTTCCTGTGAGGTAAACAATTATTTGATCCCCTGCTGATTTTGTACGTTTGCCCACTGACAAAGAGACATGATCAGTCTATTATTTTAATGGTAGGTTTATTGGAACAGTGAGAGACAGAATAACAACAAACAAATCCAGAAAAATGCATGTCAAAAATGTTATAAATTGATTTGCATTTTAATGAGGGAAATAAGTATTTGACCCCTCTGCAAAACATGACTTAGTACTTGGTGGCAAAACCCTTGTTGGCAATCACAGAGGTCAGATGTTTCTTGTAGTTGGCCACCAGGTTTGCACACATCTCAGGAGGGATTTTGTCCCACTCCTCTTTGCAGATCTTCTCCAAGTCTTTAAGATTTCGAGGCTTATGTTTGTCAACTCGAACCTTCAGCTCCCTCCACAGATTTTCTATGGGATTAAGGTCTGGAGACTGGCTAGGCCACTCCAGGTCCTTAATGTGCTTCTTCTTGAGCCACTCCTTTGTTGCCTTGGCCGTGTGTTTTGGGTCATTGTCATGCTGGAATACCCATCAACGACCCATTTT